GGTGACCACGTGACCATTTGTTCTCCTCAAAGCTAGATGGTATTTGACTTCTTTTCAGCCTTCATGTACTTGTAAGTCTTTAAAACACAGGGATGGTATCATGATTCTGAAAAGAGAAGACATAAAGATACTTAATAACTTCACCAGGTATCTTTTTAGGACCAAATTCAGTTTTATTTTGAAATAAAAGCAACTAACCTCATCCCTCTCTGCCCCCCACTATCTAAACTGGGATATTGACCAGCTTACTGATGTGGCTGAGGATTTTTGTTAGGAATTAGTTGTATGGTTTACTAATATGTTGGGGGGAAAATGCCTGAAAAAGTGGCATTAGTAACATTTACTGACATAGCCTTTTTTCTCTAATACATGTTAATTATAAAGATGCTTTGAAAATTTAGGAAAGTATAAACATCCGATGTTAACTGAGATTTTCTTCCTCGTTCCCTCCTTCTTTCCTTTCTTGTCTCCCTTCATCCCTTTTTTCTTCCCTCAAAACTGGGGCCGTATTATCGATATAGTTTTATATCCTGTTGTTTTGTCTTATTTATATCATGAGATTTTCCTAATTCATTGGCCATAATTTAGATTTTGTTTCTTTTTATCACAAAATTAATGGATTAGTTTAGAAAATTTAGAAAAGCAAAAAATAATATTTATTGATAAGCTTTACTCAGATACTCTTAACAATTCCTGAATAATTTCCCAGCCTTTTTCCTGCATGTATATACATACTTTTTAAAAAAACTATAACATTATATGGTAAATACTACTTTATAACCTTAAATTATTACAGATATCTTTCCAGATCACCGTCTTTTTTTAACCACATCATTGTAATACTGTGTTTGATTCTTTTTTTAGACATTTATATTGTTTCTAAATTTTGATGTTACAAATAATACTATGATGAACTTTGCAGTAAATATTTGTGTGCAGCTTTGGTTATTTCCTCAGGAAAAATTCAAGTGGAATTACTTAGATCAAAAGGATTGGCACATTTGGGTGACTTTTAGTGCATATTACCAAAATATCCTTCAGAAAGATTTTTTTTGAGTTTGTGCTACAAAGAGAATGAATGAGTGTGTTCATTTTGCTGTATTCTTGTCAATACTGGGTATTAGTGTTTTATTTTATTTTATTTATTTTTTTGAGTCAGAGTCTTGCTCTGTAACCCTAGGTAGAGTGCTGTGGCATCAGCCTAGCTCACAGGAACTTCAAACTCCTGGCCTCAAGCGATCCTCCTGGCTCAGCCTCCCGGCTCAGCCTCCCAAGTAGCTGGGACTACAGGCGTGTACCAACATGCCCGGCTAATTTTTCTGTTTCACAGTCATAGAATCTTGCTCAGGCTGGTATCGAACTCCTGAGCTCAAACAATCCCCCAACCTCGGCCTCCCAGAGTGCTAGGATTACAGGCATGAGCAACTGCACCCAGTCAGTTTCATTTTCATTTTACAGATGATTTTACTCAGGTCTAAAAAATATAAGTGACTTTGTCTCAAGATCACACCCCCAGTTTATGGCAGTCAGATTTAAAGATTGCTGAGCTTCTCTCTATGTTGAGCCAGCTGTGGTGTGTATGTATGTGTGTGTGTGTAACCATTAGCACATATTTCCTTGGTTAAAGATATTTCCCACATTTATTGGTGATCAATATTTCACGTTGATTTGGGAAGCTAAGGAAAATTAAAGTAATACAACTACAGCTCCAAAACCATTTAGGATGGCAGCAGGTCCTTAAATTGAGGGAACGTTGGGGTCAATGTGGAGAGTTTATTTTGAACTGATTTTAAGCTTAACAGAAAAGTTGCAAAAACAGTACATAGTTTTCATATATTCCTCATCCAGCTTCCCATATTAACACCTTACACACTATAGTTCAGTTATCAAAACCAGGTAAAATAGTATTAAACTACAGACCTTATTCATATTTCACCAGTTTTCCCACAAATGCTCTTTTTCCATCCCAGGATCCCCGACTTGATTTAGTTTTTATTTCTCCTAGTCTCCTCCAGTCTGTGACAGTTTTATCTGTCGTGTCCTTGACACTTTTGAAGAATACTGATTGATTATTTTGTAGAATGTCACTCAAATTGAGTTTGTCTGATGTTTTCACGCAGTTGGAATGAGATTGTGCACTGTGGCAGGAATACCACAGAGAAATGATACTGAGTCCTTCTCAGTGCTCATAAGAACTGGTTCATTGATATGTCTCATTAGCAGGGATGCTAACCTTGATCTAATTTAAGGTGGTATCTCTGGGTTTTTCTACTGTAAAGTTCCTACAGTTAATAAATACTTTCAAACTGTGCAATTCCCGTTTCTCCTAAAACTGTTGCCCACTAATTTTTAACATTCACCTATGGGAGTTATGGAACTAAATTTAAGCAGGAATTTATCATGTGGATCTTTGGTAAATTATTCCTAAACTACCTAGGTGGGATTATCTCAGAGGATAGGCAGATTTTGTAGAATTTTAAACTAACTAGAAACCTAGGTATTAGTTTTAATGTTCTAACTAACAAATGTAAGCAAATAGGCGGACTTCATGTTTAATCTCATCTTGTTTAACTTGTGTGCTTTTTAGGGTAACCAGCCATCTCCGTTTGCATGGGCTTGAGGAGGGTCCTGGGATAGGATACCTTCAGTGTTAAAACTGAGAAAGTCCCAGGGAAATGGATGAGTTGATCACCCCAGCTGTCACGTAGTTCTCTTTAAAGAAAGCTTAGTGCTTATAAATGCATGGAGTAGTTTGATTTGTTTGTTGGTGCTTTACTCTCAAGTGTTATTCAGTCCTGTTGGTGCTGATAATCTGCATTTGATTATCTTTTCTTCATGTTGGTTTCCTTCTGAGTTTTTATTAATGCTCCCCAGGACTGCATTTTCAGAAAAGAGAGGACTGAAATCAGATGCACATTATAGGCACCTCAGGAAGGAGAGTGGTTAAAAAAGGCTGATATCTGTGCTGCCTCCAAACATTAGAATAGAATTCATGGAAGATGGGCCTGGAAATAATTTGTTAATTTCTTAAAAATGACCTGGGTTGTTTTTAATGTGGAGCTAGGATTGAGGACCTCTAAACCAGAGAACAGTGTGGGATCGTATTAACTGTGGAGTTGGGGATGAAGATAATATGTCTGTTTTGTTTGTGTCTCTGTCCTTGTATTCTCAACTGCCTTTAATGAAAGGGTTGAAATAGCAAACACTTCTGAAGGTTTACTTCCTTTAAAAACCTCAGTTGTGAACTTTGCTTTTTTTACATTTAAAACCCAAACACAGCAAAATCACTGTTAAATTTTCAAATGCACAAAGATATAAGTAAGTTAAGATTTGTCAAGAACTATCAATAGGATGTCTCTCCCCAGTTGAGGTGTTTTGTTTGGAGACAGAGTCTTATCTTACTCTCTTGCCGGGGCTAGTGTGCCGCCTAGCTCACAGCAACCTCAAACTCCTGGGCTCAGGCCATCCTTCTGCCTCAGCCTCCCAACTAGCTGGGACTACTGGCTATTTTTTTTCTATTTTTAGTAGAGACAGGGTCTCCCTTTTCCTCAAGCTGGTCTTGAATTCCTGAGCTTAAGCGATCCTCCCACCTTGGCCTCCCAGAGTGCTAGGGTGATATGAGCCACCCCACCCAGCCCCCAGTTGAGTATTTAATTGCACCTTCTCATTGAGCCAAGTTTCTTTAACCTTTCTTCCTAAGGCAGTTCATTGTGCATATAAGCAAAGAATTTGAGGTTGTTCTCACATCTTGTATTCAAATTCCCAAATTCCCACTAAGTAAAATCATTTACTTGTTTCTTCTTTGTACCTTACTGCTGTCCCCCTCAATTACCTCATTGATCATTTTCTTGAAGAAATTGTCTCCTAGTTTCAGTGCTTGTGGTTCACTGTCTCTGCAGAAGCAGCAGAGGGCACTACTCAGAGGCTTTCCTGCTCCGGGAAGCTGAGATCGTGTCCAGTCCGCCAGCCCCTGTTGCAGTTGACGAATTTCATCCTTGGCTGGAATCCCAGTTCTTTCTTTGGGTGGGGCTCTGGAAGTATCACCTGACTGATGGAAATAATTGTTGGGCCAGTTATTTTAATAAATTTAAGGATAGTAAATAGAACCAACCACTTTATCCTAATTGGTGTAAATGTAATGTTGCTCTCAAGATGTTTATAAATTGATTGTAATGATGAAAGATGCATTCCTCAAGATTTTGGATTATCTTTTATTCTATTATATTTTTGTGCCACTTATTTATTTCTGAAAACACAAGAAGATTCTCCCCTGCTATTTCTCTACTTAAAACTTATTTAATATTGAAAAGCTGAGAGTATCTTTGGTGGTTAAAATTCCTGAGCTTAGATTTGACATGAGGTGACTGTTATTACTGGGGACTTTGCTTCCCTAGGGTTATGAGAATGGTTTAAATATAATATTAAATATTGATTGATTGATTGATTGATTGATACTGTGGCTTTGAGATCTCAGCCACATTCCCAAGTCAGGGTCTGCCTCTACTCAGAGTCAATTTAGTAATGCCTTTTGGGGAGAAAATTTTTTCATTATAGATTCATCTTGTAAGAAATCGTTAATTCTGAAAGGTAAAAAATATGCAGTTCAGTGATTCTTCAAATCTTTTAGGTCATCGATAATTTTGAAAATGTGGTATATACTGTGGAACATTGCCTCAGGAAAAACCTACCTTCCCAAGACTTTGCCTGCAGTTCCTGAAGCCCAGCTGCAGACCTCCCAGAGAAATCTGTGGCCCTCACATGAAGGCTGCTCCTCTGCCACCCCCTGCTGGCTTGTCCTGGCCATAGCTGACATGGAAAGATGGAGACTATTTCTGTGTAATATTTATTGATACTTTTGTTCTCTTCTCCAGGGCTTATTGACTATAATTTTCATTGCTTTCGGAAGGCCATCCATGAAGTTTTTGAGGTGAGGATGAAAGTAGTGAAATCTCGAAAAGTTCAGAATCGGCTGCAGAAGAAAAAAGGAGCCACCCCTAATGGGACACCGAGAGTGCTGCTGTAGGTGAGGTTTCAGGAACATCTTTGAAATCAGACCTTTTTGATGAGGCTGCTGCGCCATGTTGCACTAAAGGAAGAGGAAGAAGGAGATTGGGACACATGACATGGATTTGTTGTAAAAAAAAAATTCCTGCAACCCTCTTGATCTTTTCTTTTTTAAATAAAGTAAGCACTTTGAAGCAAAAACTTGTATAATAACAATGAAGTGAAATCCACTGTACTTTCATTACACAAATGTAAACTTTTATGGTCTTTAGTCAGAAAACTCCCATGTGAGAACTGCCAGGAACTGTACATATTTTGCACTTTTTCATGTTTTTTTCTCATTGAACTGAACTTTGATAAAATGACTTTTCTAAGCTTTTTCTGTACTTGGTGTCAAGGACATGCATACTGTAGTCCATAACTATATGGCAATCAGAAATTAATCAAAAAGTGATGCATTGGGAATGACTTTTTGTAAATGTGGGGATCTTTGCTACTAATTGTTGAGAAAAATCATTTTTTCAATGGAGCTGGAACAGATTGGGGCTGTAAGCTCCAGGAGCAATAAAAACTGTCCCCTATTTATAACGGGTGTAAACGGGAGTTTCGTAGAATATATTAAGCACCAGACTTATCTAAAAATTTCTATAGCCGTGGCTGTTCTTCCCTGCTCAACAGATTTTATGAAGCTCTTTACCTCAACACGTATCTTCATAATCACTTTATGCAGAGCAGGTTATTTCTTTTTACTGTATTCTTTAGAAGTTTTGGGACCAGAATTCCAAAATGGTGCCGATCACTGGAGAGAAATAAAAATGTCATTAAACTGCAGGGTTTCTAGAGGATTTTCTGTACCTGTCACGCAGGGCAAAAGTAACATTAGAGGCCAAAAGTTGTCCCAAATGTAAGTGATTGGCAACTGCAGACTAACAAATATATATACAATTCTGGCACCTGTGAAATGGCCTGCTGTCATGATACAATGAAAATGTTTGTTTAGGACCTGTTTTTTATTGCCCCATGCCCTCAGTGAATGGAGCAAACCTCAGATCTCCACCATGGAGCTTAATCCTGTTAGTGTCATTTGTTATTTAATACTTCCAAGTCTCTTTTTCATCTGTGGTTTCATCCGTGTACTCCACCTCTTCCCATCTTATGATTGAACTAGAGCTCAATGTGCTACCAGCATGCTCTGCAAGGCTGAAGAGCCATTATGAAAGCCCCTAATGGTGGGAAGTGGGAAAAGGAGGGCCAGAGGAGGCATTACAGTTAACTGTGTGTAATTGTTTCTATGAAATTCTTTAACTCAATGTTTACTTTAGACTAGCAGGAAATTAAGAGAACTAAATCTACCCCTACAGCACATCATTCCAAGTAGGTAATTCTGTGTCCATCACAAAGGTTAGCCCCCAAAGGCATGTTTGTAAGACGACATTAGAAAATAATTTTTTTTTTAAAACAGAGCCTCCTGGGGATATCAAAGCTGGTCCTAGCAAAAATATATAAATCCCTAAAGCAACTTGTCCTTGAACCTTTCCCATTTCTATCAATGGCTTCTTTCTCTCCTCTCTCCTCCCTCTCCCTAAGTCCTATTCCTTTGAAGCTGATAACTGAAATTTAAGATGGTATCTGATTGGGGTTGAAGATTTGAGTCTTTGCATTTCAAAAGGAGATTTCTAAAAATCATTAAGGTGCCCATATTCCTCAGCCTTCCTACTCAAAAGCCTGGATAGGCACCCAGAGTTCCCTGGTTTCCAGAGCTGTACCCTATTGGACCTTTGCCAACAAGCCTGGTTCTTAGGAGTTATTCTTATAAATCTAATTCTCTAATATTTTTTACAGAATGTTTCTCTTTGAATAGCAAATAAAGAATCAGTTTTCTAATACAATTTTATCCTCAAGATAGAAACACTTGCCTATCTGATAAATCACACATTACTTAGGTATATATATTATTATAACCAGGTAGATCCTCCATTTTTAAGCTGGGTATATGACGAGTTTTTGTTAAAATGTGCCTTAAAAAGCCTATTACTTCAAGAGCAAGTGATTCTTTGGGGGAAAGGCAAAAATAATCCTATGACATAGGACCCAAGTTCATGGTAGTAAGTGTACTCTGATTAATCACACGCTAGCATAGATGACTGCCTCAAACCTTGTAAGTGTGGCAATGACCCTTAATACAAAAAAGATAGCAGGAGTTATATCTAAGTGTTCAGTTTCTCAAGTCTGTGGTATTGGAACTGCAGCATGTGTTTTTGAAGGAATATAAATCAAAAACTGGTTGACATTCACAAACAGTGTTATTTTCTGAACATAATATATTTTGGACCCCTAAATAGAAAGTGACTAAAATCACAGCAATATTGTTATGTATGGGTTGTCAACTCTATGTGAAACTTACTCCAGAAAAACAGCTGAACTGTCTTGATTATTAAAGTATGGTATGCATTCAACTTGTACAGACTGGATATAATTTGTAATCAAGCGTAGTGTGTATTTTACTTTAAGCTGTACATCATTTATAACCATTGTTAAACCATTGTTTTTAAAAATGTTAACTGCCAATTTAAAAGTGTGTGTCATAGCTTCATAATTTGATAAAGCTTTCATTTTATTTCAAGCATATTCATAACTAAGCTTTCTGGGAGCAGAGTGGTCTCTTTGGTGAAAAGGAAGTGTGGCCTTTTCATATTCGTGAGGTTGTTTGCCATACATGTACGTCACTGTTTCATTGTCCCTGTTAGGTACATTTAGTAAAATTCATTTGTCCTGATTAACTAGCTCTCATTTTATGAAAATGATGATAAATGTCACTATTTAAATTGAACTTACACTTTTATTTATTTTATTTTTTTTTTGAGACAGTCTCACTTTGTTGCCCAGGCTAGAGTGAGTGCCGTGGCGTCAGCCTAGCTCACAGCAACCTCAAACTCCTGGGCTCAAGCAATCCTCCTGCCTCAGCCTCCTGAGTAGCTGGGACTACAGGCATGTACCACCATGCCCGGCTAATTTTTTCTATATATATTAGTTGGCCAATTAATTTCTTTCTATTTATAGTAGAGACGGGGGTCTCGCTCTTGCTCAGGCTAGTTTCGAACTCCTGACCTGGAGCAATCCGCCCGCCTCGGCCTCCAAGAGAGCTAGGATTACAGGCGTGAGCCACCGCGCCCGGCCTACACTTTTATTTTTAAATCTTATCTCTCCATATTTTTGATGGAGACATGCCTGTTAGAACTGTAGAACTGTTACTTCAGTAAACTTGAGATATTAATTCTTGCTGCTCTGGCACTAATCCCCTAGTCATCTGGAAATCCTTTTCCTGACACGCCACATTGTAAGATTCCACTCTGTAATGACCTTTACAAGTCCCCTAAGAGTTCTCAGAGAAGGCTAGCATTAGATATCTTAAATATGAAATCCTGTTTCTGATTGGAAAAGCTGACCTGAAATTATTTCCAAGATTTTTATCAGGGGCAATATTGAGTTTAAGAGAAAGAAACGTAGCCTTTAACAATTATTTAATGATAATAGATACTGATTGGTTACAAATGATATGCCGGGCACTGCTCTGAAGTGCTTTTATGTAACTAATCCTCATAAATCTGGGAGGTAAGTACTATTATCATTTGTTTTACAGATGAGGCAACTGAGGTCAAAGAGCTAAAAATAAATTTCTCAAGATAATATAACTAGTAAGACAATGCAGGAACCGGACTTAAGAACCCACCTTCATGTACGCAGCATCACCAAATGTCCCTTTAAATACCTTCCTATCACAGATATGCAGAGGGGCACTTGTAATTCAGGATTTACTGCTGCATGAGCTTAAGTGCTGGGACATTGAATAAAGAAATGTCTATTCTTACATGAGCTTCTCTTGCATATTTTTAGAACCCATAGAAGCAGTCTTCTAAATATACTTCAGAGGAGAAAGTCAACAAAGATTATACATTTTTCTTCCTAATCTATTGAATAACTCTAATGCTGAAGATAATATTAACGGTGTTTAAATGTCAGAAGAAAATGTAAATACGTTTTACAGCCATTTTTCCCTCCTTAGGCAATAGTATATCAAGCTCTGAGCAAGTCAGGAGAAAATAAACATTTGGTCTTAGCTGTATCCAACTTGTTACCTTGAGTTGTCAATATGTATAACAAGGATTTATAGAAAATAAAACACCGATTGGGATTAAAATTTTATAAAGTACATTTCAATCCTAATCCATTTTTGAGCTTCAGACCTATATTTAAAATGTCCATTAGCATACCTTTGCTGGAATCTTCTGTAAGAAGTGCCTCAAATTGAACATGTCTAAGATTGGCTTCCTTCTTGCTAAATCTCCTCCTATGATGGTATGACTTTCCTCCCTCATGTTTCTGCCAGACACTTGGACCTCGTTCTTGACACTTCCCTCCTGATCACCTCCTACAATCACTCAGTTCCTTCAGCTCAGCCTTGCAAATCTCTGCTAATCTGTTCTATTCTCTCCAGCTCATCTGGCACTATCTTGGCTTAGACCACCATCTCCTATTTGGATCTCAGTAGCCTTTTAACCAATGTTTCTTCACCTCTTCACCTCTGGCCTTGGCTCATCTTCCCTCAACAAAGCTCAACAAGCATGCCCAAACTGTGTGGTAAATAAAAGGAGTTGTGAGTTTTGATTCCTTTGTCAATCATTCTTAAATATTTATGGGGTGCCTATTATATGTCAGACACTGTGCTAGTAAAATGGCTAAAAGGCAGATACTGGAGATGAAAGGGTTTTACTATCTAAAAATAATAAAAAATAAACGAATTTTAGATAGATCCTTGTAGGTACCAGTTTTTAGAACTACAGTTGTGTAGGACTTTACCACTCTCCAGCAGAGACCATAGATAGTAGTAACTAGCATTCAAGAAGTTTAATTGTTCAACTAATGGCAGATCAGCAGTTATCTTTAATCATATTAGTTTAATGTAAGACTAAATATAAGGAGTAGGCTGTAAATTGGGAATGTTTATTGAAGTAGTGCCTTATAATTAAGAGGTGAATTAAAATATGAAGTTTTAAATGTTAGTTATTTCAATGTTCAGACTTTTTCAGCTTAATACATACATGAAATCAGTACCATTTCCAGAATTAGATTTAATAAAAAGTTTATTTTACTGTTTCTACTCTTTTCAATCTGTATGTACCAGAGAACTCTTGAGTGTTGTCTAAGGTGGATGTTTATGTTCTTGTAGTATGTTGTCATGAGCAACAATAGAGTATGTGAGAAGAATCTGGCAATAGAATATAGGGTGGATGCAGGGTTCTTTTAGATCATTTAGAATTTTGAAAGGCTGGGTGATATTTTAAAATGTGCCAAAGTTGACCTAGTGGGTCCTCAAAAGATCTACTTTTGTCATAAATTACATTTAAGTTTGGGCAGTGATCCTATTTCAGTTATGTCATCAATATCTTTACAGTTTTCTATAATGGTCATGGTAAGGTGATACTTGAAATTGTATCATGTTATTCCCCCAAGAAACAATTCAATTCCATGATTACAAAAAAAAAAATTCAAAATAACATCTGTAAGACCAGCCAAGTAAATATCAGTCAATAGTCTTTCTTTGGCCAGGCGCGGTGGCTCAAGCCTGTAATCCTAGCACTCTGGGAGGCGAGGCGGGCGGATTGCTCAGGTCAGGAGTTCAAACCAGCCTGAGCAAGAGCAAGACCCGTCTCTACTATAAATAGAAAGAAATTAATTGGCCAACTAATATATATAGAAAAAATTACCGGGCATGGTGGTGCATGCCTGTAGTCCAGCTACTCGGGAGGCTGAGGCAGAAGGATTGCTTGAGCCAGGAGTTTGAGGTTCTGTGAGCTAGGCTGACGCCACGGCACTCACTCTAGCCTGGGCAACAAGCGAGACTCTGTCTCAAAAAAAAAAAAAAAAAATAGTCTTTCTTTGTAGAACCTTACATTTTTGGTTTCAACAAATGATCTGACAGTTAAAGCTGAGATGGAATCTGGTTCTCATATTCAATCATGAAAAACTTGTTTTAAAAAGCAGAACACCGGCCAGGCTCGGTGGCCTCACACCTGTAACAGAGGCTGAAGCAGCAGGTCCCCTCAAGCTCAGGAGTTTGAGACCGGCCTGAGCCCTGAACAAGAGGGAGACCCTGTCTCTACTAAAAATTGAAAAAATTAGCCTGGTGTGGTGGTGCAGACCTGTATTCCCAGCTACTCAAGAGGCAGATGCAGGAGGATCGTTTGAGCCCAGGAGTTTGAGGTTGCTATGAAACACTATGGCACTTTAGCCCGGGCGACAGAGTGAGACTCCATCTCAAAAAAACCAAAACAAAACAGCAAAACATCCATGTAAACTCTTACAACTGAAGCAATGTTTGAATGGCATATAAAACTGCCCTGGGACAGAACTGTAGGACTTGACCCGTTATGAAATCCATTTTAAGCTCTATGTTGTGAGCCACAGTAAGTACAGTTCACATTGCAAATCATCACACACTCATACTTGCAAATATTACTTAAAACAACCCTCACGAAGTAATATCCTTTCTACATGCAATGTATTCTGGTATTTTTTTCTCTTTCATTTCCTTTTTTAAGAAGATCTCACAATCCTCGAATGAGTCACAACCTGCAGTTTGTAAAACAGTGTTACAGTGAACCCATTGGCCAGATTAGAGATACCCGAGGATTTTCTTTCCTGCCTAAAATATTTTCCTTCTCTTTAAGGTCTTAACAAATGGGAAATTCTAAGTTCTTGAATTTTTCTTTCATTTGATCAGGGCTTTCTATTGTGTTTACTAGAACGGTTTTACTTTTCATCGCCATTCTTGGATATTTTTGTATGCTGGGTCGTATCAGGGTTGAGGGGTTGTGGAGGTTGTAGTCCTGAGAGGATTGTCTTTGCAATAGACTCTGTCCTGGACTAGCATATGATAATGAACTTTATGTGGAGTGGAGTGACGCATGAGCTCATATCTAACTTCCATGGTGTCCTTTGTTAATTCAGATGACACTGGTCATAGCCAATATCAAGAATCCATGAGTTTGCTCATTGGTCCTATTGTGAAACCCCCAAGACCCAGCCTGACAAGGTCCTTCCCCATGAAAAGGGACTGATCAAGCAACTATACTAAGGGTGAGGGAGGCAGATGGAGGAAGATGTCCAGCTGCCTGAGACCTTGACTATCCTGCTTCCTCAGTCTACTAATGAGCTCCTGGGGCCAGCAGGATCATTCTAATCTTGAAACCAAGAGTCATTGAACTAAAGCCTCTCCTGTGAAAGTCAACTACAATAGAGCAGTTTAGACCCCAGTCCCATGCTAACCCTCACCACCCTTTCCTAAAAGCTGCTTCTGTTTGCCTCCAGCTTTCATTATTGTCTGAGTCCCTCAGGCTGCTGCTCAGTATTGTCTGTCTCTGGCCTTGCAGAGAGCCGAGCTCTGTAGTACTCGGCTTTCCTCAACTAGACAGTAGATAACCTGAAACTCATTCTGGACTTCTTCCAGACCTCTTTCTTACAAGGTGGCCTCCATAGTTAGGCTTTGGCCCCTGCTCCCTGGGAAGCAGTGCAGTATGGGGATGACCAGGGAGACCAGGCATATGTGTCGTTCCATCTCAGTGGGAGAGGAAGGAAATCCACTGGGTTTGTAATGTGCAAGAAACAGTGCCACCAATCCACATAATAAATACTGTTTCGTTTAATGCTCTACGTCAGTATTTACCAAAGTTACCTGATTTTAAGAATCATCTAGGGTGCTTAAAGATGCAGCTTCCCATCCCTATCTCAGTCTTCTTGAATCACAATCTATAGGAGAGGTTTGGGAATCTGCATTTTAAATAAGCACCCTAGACAATTTGAGAGACACTGTTTTCACTGTAGTTGTTAAAGGGATAGGGAGGGGAGAAGGTGGGGGATGAGGACTGGAATCTCCCAGGAGAGCTTTCTCGAATCCTCTACTCCCACATACATATCTCAAGTGTTAGTGTCTCTTTTCTACTTGATTATGCAGCTTTAAAATTCTACATTATTTAATCTATAATTTAAATATGAACTTTTATGAATGTAAATGAAATAATTTAAAAAGTAAGACATTTATCAATTTAAAATATTTAAATAATTATTTACATTTAATATCACAAATTATATAAATGGTATTAATTTAGAAAAATTGCTTTTTCCTCACTCAAACAATTTTATTCAAATTCTTCACATGCATCTTCTATAGCTGGGTCTTTATGATCATTGGAACAACATTTTGAGTCATCTAATAGTTTCCTCCAGTTATTTAAGGTAGAACATGCTTTAAATTGAGTAGGATACAGTAGGATGCTGTCAGTAGAGATTTTACTGATTTGCAAGAACCATTTATTAAATATCAGGACAGGTTTTTTCCCCTACATATTCACAATCTCCACAAATAAGTATTTTTATATTTCTTTGTTCAATGATTATTTAGAAGCATACTTATAATGATTTTCAATACTTGTTCTCTAAGCCCTTACCCTCAGAAATAATTAATAAATATGTCTTTGTCTTTTTTTCCCTGATTTTGTTAGGTGACTTTTTTTTTGAGACAGGGTCTTGCTCTGTCACCTGGGCTAGAGTGCAGTGGCAGCCTCATAGCTCACTGCAACCTCAAACTCCCGGGCTTAAGCGATCCTCCTGCCTCAGCCTCCCAAGTAGCTGGGACTACAAGCACCCACCACCACACCCAGATAATTTTCTCTATTTTTTTTTTTTAAATTCTTTCTATTTTTTGTAGATATAGGGTCTCTCTCTTGCTTAGGCTGGTCTTCAACACCTGAGCTCAAGTGATTCTCCTGACTTAGCCTCCCAGAGTGTTAGGATTGCAGGAGTGAGCCACTGTATGGGCCATTATATGACAGAAAACTGCCATTGCTTGAGGTACTTTGTTCAAAAAGGACAAAGACAAAAATATAAGCCAATTCTCTTTTCTGAGAAATGCTATTTTGGAAAAAATTTTCCTTTTTAATCTGCATATATGGTATATATTACTATTTAAGAATGTCTGCACCTAAATCCAAAGTGAACTTCCCAGGGATGTTAAGTTGGCCCAGTATTTCTCACAAGATGCTAGAAGGCAGACTGCGGCATACCTACACTTCTGGTTGTTTAGTGCCAAAAGAATTAACTGTAGGAAAGTCCAGGACTGCTTTTAGAAGTTGATGATCATCATTCAAAGTTTGCCTATAATTGTACATTGGATTTTAACGGAAAGCATCACAGTGTTGACTATTATGAAGACGATATTAAGATTGCTTAACAGTGCTGCAGAATTACTGTAAGGAGTTCCATAATTCATGTCATGCTGAGCATTGTCTGTAGATTGAAGAATGTTCCTCTATGAACTATTATGTTTTGGAAGTTTGTAGATGCCATAATGGTGAATAAAATTCAAATTTGTTTAAAAGTACTGAACTCAGAATTTTTTTTTTTTTCATTTTCCCCATAAATAGAAACTGAAACTGCTACCAAGGTAGGGAGCAGAGTTCTAAGCTGTTCAGGTTAATTTATTGGTGACCAAGTTTCATCAATCAGCAAGTGGCTAAAATGGGTCTAGAGAATGACAAATTGGGGTAACAGAGTATATGACAGAAGAAATATGGCATAGAAAGAACGACAGTGCTTTGAAGAGCTACTGGGAGAGCACTCGGGGGAGAGAGGGAAGAGACACAGACATGGCAGTGCCACAGCGAGCTGCCAGCACAACACTGAGCACCTGTGGTCTCTCCCAGGAACGACAGTTTTAATTAGGTGCAGGTGTTTCCTTTAGAGCTAAACTTAGAAAATGAAATAACTCTGGTCAAACTCATCAGTTCATTAAAACTAAGTATTAATGATGATAAGTATTATAATTTTTGTTACCAATTTTAAAGGCACATTTTAATTTTGAAAAACAAAACAAAACAAAGAAATGCAGTCCATGTAAATAAAGCAAAAGCACAATCCTAAGCAGGTTTCTTTTTCTCACCCCTAATACCAAGAGCTGTAATTTTGGGAGAGATATCAGATAATTCAAAGCTATGTAGCAAATTAGGTCTCAAAGAAAAGACATAAATTAAGAAAGCCACAGTAAAGTGATTTATTAATATTGTGGACAAGTATTTACTTTTGTATTTAGAAAGCACTTCTTTGCTTATTCATAGGAAAACCCTTTTAAGATGAGAAAAGTTATATCACAAGGTATTTGGTGGAAGGAACCTACTAAACTAGTACGGTAAACACTCCATGGCATTTCAAACATACTCACTTGATATATCTCCATAATATTTTCTTCTGAAATATCATATCAGAAAAGTGTTAAAACAGAATGAGCAGGGAGGCTTATCTTGAACGCAGCAGAAACTGAGAAAAAAACAGAGGCATGTTTCCCTTCCGGTTCTTTCAGCTGGCCACCAGATGGTAAGCAAAAGCATATCCGTTAGACCTGCAATGCAGCAAAGTAGGGAGAACAGAAAACAGAGAGCTGCTTCCTGTCTGACATTTTTGTTCAGGTAACCAGAGTTTAAACTTGTGTCCCTGATAATGACATAACCAACATCTCCATTACGTTAATACCAGCTACATCCTCTGGGAAAATGTCCCATGTTTCTTATTAACTAATCCAACGGGGAAATCCTGGGGTGGGAGGGGGAGACAAGAGAAAAAATTATGGCAGGTATTTTTTTTTCTTTCCTGAAATATCAAAAAACTCTTATTATAAAATATTCAAAGTAATTAATAAAATGTTTACAGTAAAGTCCATATATGGCTTTCCAAGGCGTTTCTTTCCTTAATTTTACTCTAGGAAGACACTCATGTAAATATCAGTCTAAGTGATAGCACTGCAACTGGTAAAATGAGTAGTCCAGATGGTTAATGGCAGGTATTTTTAGTATAGAAAAGTACATATTGTACAATGGGATTTCAATTCTTAAAATACCCATGCTTTATAAATAAAGACTTAAGGTAAATATACCAAACTATTAATTATGGCCATTTCTAAGCAGGAGGATTATGGGAGATTTGGATTTTGTTCATATTTCAAATATTGAGCAATAATCATGTATTGGTTTTATGATCAAGAAAAAACATCATTTAAAAAAATAAGTTTTTATTTTTTATTTTTAGTAATAGGATCTTGCCCACTATGTTGCCAGGCTGATGTGCACAATCAGCCACAATCAGCCAGCACTATAACCTTATCTCCTCGGACTCAGCTGTCCTCCCACCTCAGCCTCCCAATTAGCCATGACTACAGGCACACCACAGGGCCCAGCCAAAAAAGGAGAAAAGTTTCAAATGCTGAAGAATAAATATCTTAAAGTGTGTGATCCAAAAATAGCTCTGAGGTTCTAAGTTGCATATCCTCTTTTCAAAGGGTGGAACAGAGAGGCCTTGAGTGACACAAGACAGTCTGATTCCTTTTTAGTGTACCAAAAATAATGCAGGTTTCAGAGTCAGGAGATCTGGACTTGAATCAGGGTTCTTTCATTTCCTGGATAAGTCATTGAAGGTTTTCTTATATGAGTCATTGAAGCTTTAAGAACCTCTGTAAAATAGATTTCAAAGTATCCAAACCAAATCAAAAGTAAATGAAAATCTAAAAAGGTTTCTTTTCATTAATATCATAAAAATAATATACCAGAAAGATAATAGTTTATAGTTGAAGTAAATAACTTGATTTCTCAGAGACCTCAATTATCTTCATTTGTAACATGGGTATAAACAATCTGCCACTGCCAGAGATGTTATGAAGAATAAATGAGTTGATGTATATCAAGTGCCCAATACACAGTAAGTGCTAAAAAACTACAGTCCAGACCTTACACAGGATGCAATTGGCAGTGGGGCGGGGACCTGCACTTCAAAGGGCCTCTGGTTACTATCTAAGGAAAATATGAATTATATAGGTCAAGGATTGTGGTTCTAAGATGTTTTTTAAGATTCTGAAACATTTTAAACTTCATCTTTTGTCATTTTTGCTTTAAGGAAACAAACCTTAAAATGAAAAGTTTTCCTAAGGATTATCAAATGTATGGAAAAAAATTACCCCACATTTGATCTGGGGTAGAAGCACCTGATGTAATTTATAACTTTCTTCTAGGAAGAAATAAGTGTTCTTGATAAAATATGAGCAATTTTTGAATAAATTTAAATTGAACTTAAATTTTAACTCAGTAAAAAATTTAACTAGCTCTCTTTCCACCCAGCTATCAGTCAAGAATCTAGTGACCTTTCAATACAAATGCTTTTCTTTTTGTATCTCTACTCTTTTCTCTGTAAACATCTCTGCTGAGAGAAATTTTGGAATTGTCTTTGCTCTTGCAGCAAGATTGTAATTAAGCTTTGACATGTACCCATAACTAAATTGTTCGAACAGATTTTTGTTGTTGTTAACCAAGGAAGAATAGGTTACAATTCCTACTGAGCTAGTCCTGTGGGGGAAGAGTTCCAAGGAACACAGAAGAGGTGGTGGCTGAAGGAGAGCCCCAGAGGGCAATTACCCCCAGAGATTGATTGATGGACCCGGAGGCTGAATAACAAAAGGCTTCTGGAATTTAGTATCTTTAGCTATAAAATGGGAATCATAATACAGTACCTGTTTTGCAGGTCTTGGCCATGGTAAGGCCTATTGCTCAAATCAGTGGCTTTTGCAGAGCTGTGGCAGGAGAAGGTGTCAAGTGTTAGACAATTTGAAGATTCAACACAATGAATGAAGAATGAATGAATGAAGCAGCACAAAGGAGTTTGGTTTCCTTTGCATATTTCAGCCAATCAGATTATTAGTTTATTGTTCAGAAAACATCTAATTTTAGATTATCCTTTTCTTTTTTCCTCCCAATTTCACTCTACAAAGGGCTGCTGGTAAAATTCAGACATTAAAAAGTCACTTAATAGATTTAGATTTTTAACTTTAGCAGTAGAAAACAAATAAAATTTAGGATTTTCTATCTTTATGTAACAAAATAAAAGTTGCCCATTCTGATTAACCCTCCTGGGTTAATCCCACCTGGAATTCTTCATTTCCCTCTCCATACTCCCCACTTTCCCAGTCCCTCCTTTCCTTCCTCTCCCAAGGTCCTTGGCTCCTTTAAGCTGTCTGAACTCAGTACTCTCATGATCCCACTCATTTAACAAAGAAGTCTGGAGTGTGTCCTTTGAAGTTTAACTTTCATATTTGTATGCTTTTCCTCAAATTCAATGTAATTCCCTTAGCTTTATTCTTTGGCAGATTTTAATTCTTTAAAAAAATAAATAAATCTCCTGGCCTTCGTGGTAGCTCACAACAGTAATTGTAGCATTTTAAGAGACCCAGGCGAGAGCATCGCTTGAAATCAGGAGTTTGAGACCTGCCTGAGCAAGAGTGAGGCCCCATCTCTACAAAAAATAGAAAAATTAGCCGGGCATGGTGGCACATGCCTGTAGTCCCAGCTACTTGGGAGGCTGAGGCAGGAGCATCTCCTGAGCCCAGGAGTTTGAGGTTGCTGTGAGCTAGGCTGACGCCACTGCACTCTAGCCAGGGCAACAGAGTGAGACCCTGTCTCAAAAAACAAAACAAAACAAAACAAAACAAAAACCAAAACTCCCGCAATACCTAAAACAGTGTCTTGTACCTAATCACATTACCTGAGGAAAAAAATGTTATAAAAATCCCACTCTGGGTTGGCCGTGGTGGCTCATGCCTGTAATCCTAGCACTCTGGGAGGCTGAGGCGGGCGGATTGCTCGAGGTCAGGAGTTCAAAACCAGCCTGAACAAGAGCGAGACCCCCCCCATCTCGACTATAAATAGAAAGAAATTAAGTGGCCAACTAAAAATATACAGAAAAATTTAGCCGGGCATGGTGGCGCATGCTTGTAGTCCCAGCTACTCAGGAGGCTGAGGCAGGAGGATGGCTTGAGCCCAGGAGATTGAGGTTGCTGTGAGCTAGGCTAACGCCAGGGCACTCTAGCCCGGACAACAGAGTGAGACTCTGTATATAACAAAAAAATCTCAATAAAAATCCCACTCCGTTCTTTATCAGTGGTTTCCCCTTCCCACTTAACTCCCTCCCTGCCCCCAACAGCTGCTGGATCTAGAAACAAGCACTTCCCGGACTGCGCGGTCCAGCGCGCGGACAGCCGGGCTGCAGGCACTTTGCAGCCTGAGTCCGGAGCCGGGCGCCCCTCAGAGCTCTCGAGGGCCCCGGGTCCGGGACCCCGCCCGCAGCGGGAGGACCGGGGCCGCTTCCGGCCAGGCGGTTCTTCCGCGAAACCCGCGAGCGCCTGGGGACCCCGGATGGTCCCGGCGGAAGGTCGGCCTCCGGGGGGCTGAGGCGACAGGGCGAGGGCGCCGCTCGCTCTTGCAGAGTGACCGACCGCCACGAAGCGACTGCCACGTCAGGACAACTTCACAAAACCCGGACGAGGGCGGGTGACGCAAGCCGAGGGCCGCGGCAGGGTTGGGCCTGCGGCCAGACCAGGAGGCTGACCTCCAGCCGGGGCGCCCGGTTCAGCGACACCCCGGCCGGCGCCGGCGCCTGCCGGGCCCTGAGGGAGGCGGGGAAGCAGCGAGGAGGCGGCGCCATCAGAAGCCTGCGCCTCGCCCGCACCCTCGCCGCCCCGCCCGCAGTCCGGGCTGGACTGGCCGGCGTCTGCAGAGCTCCCTCGGCCAGGCCCAGTCTGCCCGGGCCGCGCTGAGACCTGGACAGCGGCAGCGCGGACAGGAGGTGGCAGCAGGCCGGGAGGCCGGAGTCGGGCCAGCGACCCGCCATGGAGACCCGCTACAACTTGAAGAGTCCGGGTGAGGAGGGCTAGGGGCGGTGGGCAGGGAGGGAGAAGCGACCTGGACTCCGGTCCCGGCGCCGCGGTCCCCTCGCGTCCGCCACCACTCGCGACTCTGCTCCGGGTTTCGCGCTCTACGCGAGACCGCCGCCTGCCCGGGAAGTGCAGGCCGCAGGGCGGGGTGGCGGGGCGGCGGGGCGGCGGGGCGGGCAGCCACTGCCAATCTCCGGGGACTGATCAGCGCCCCGCAGCACCCAGCCTCTCCCTTTCCTCATCTTGGTACCAAAGATCTGGGTCGTAAGCTTATCCCTAAGGACAGGTGTAAAGGTGATGTCCGTGGGTAATAGTCAACAGCTTCTTGCTCTACCTGCATCCTGAACACCGTCGTTATCCCTTCTCCGGACTTTTATTAGCGGTTTGATTCACATTTAAGGATTTGGTAGTTTAAATATCTGTTTACAGCATTTAGGGAGAATAGAGTTACAGACATAAAGGAAATGTTCTGTAACTAAGCTAGTTAGCCAAAGAGCTAAAAAACAAAACAAAAACAACTAGATGAGAGCTAACCTTGATTTTTGCCAAACGGGCTAAGATGAAATTATATCTGTGTTAAGTCTTAGAGATTTCCTTTCCAGCATTGAATGCTCCTGCTTCATTTACATAAGCAATCCAAACAATCCTAGCCTCCAATTATTTTCTGGTGCATTGTAAAGATATAAGAAACGTAACAAGCTCACTTAGATTAATGCAAACTTGAAATGAATCATTGGATTCTATAAATGACATTTATTCTATCTGTACCTTGATAAATATGTCAGAAGGGAAAAACTCTGCAGTTCAGTTCTGATTGATAAATCCTAGGATGTTAGTGATAGTTTGACCAACTCAGGCTGCTGCTTAGAATTTCCTTCCAAAAAAGCTGCTTCTCAGTAGGAATCAGCAAGACTAGCATCGTTATGGAAAGAGTTAACATTGTGAATCTTTGAATTTTTTTTAAAGGTTTCAGGATATGCAAACATTTGAGAAAAGCCTGAGGATATTGGTTGAACAGAACTTTGTTAGCCTGAGTGCTGTCAGGCTGAGAAAAGACCTTAGATAACCAAGTGTGTAGAATTGATTAGAATAGTTTGGGGATGGGACCATAGACTCCTTTCTGTGGGTGCTCCAAGAATTACATTTATACAATTCAGTTTCAGTGGGTTCATGACATCCCCCAAGCCCATCTCTTAAGAACCCCAGAAAAAAAAGACAAATGAGAAAGAGGGAGAGAAAAGCTTAATTTTTAAGTTTAGATGGTAAAATGATTGAATTACTTAGAGTATGATAGATTTAAATAAAACTAGTAGGGTGAAAATGTATGGTAACTCTTTGGTCACATGGTTCCTTAGGGACAGCAGAAGTACTTGGTGGACCGTCTGGAGAATAATGCAAATGTGAGTAGTAGTGCAGTTTGCAATAGAGAACTGGTGGGACCAAAGAAGTTGTTGTCAGGTCATTGCTAAAAATTGACAGGCTAGCATATCTGATATTATGATAAGTTTTTAAAATTCTCTAGAATTTTGTACAATTCCAAAAGTAGGTATGTGACCTACTGTCAGTTGGTTGAGCTTTGGTTGACATCCTTTTAGCTGTATCATAAATTGCTTCTTCCTCTTCTTGGTTTCATTTCCTCAAAGATGGTCTTGCTGCTCTAAAAGAGAGAATGCTTTAAAACAATTTTTTTATTTTTGAGACAGTCTCACTCTGTTGCCTGGGCTAGAGTGCTGTGGCCTCAGCCTAGCTCACAGCAACCTCAAAATCCTGGGCTCAAGCAATCCTGCCTCAGCCTCCCGAGAAGCTGGAACTACAGGCACACGACATCATGTCTGGCTAATTTTTTTCTCTCTATATTTTTAGTTGGCCAATTAATTTCTTTCTATATATTTTTTTTAAGTAGAGATGGAATCTTGCTCTTGCTCAGGCTGGTTTCAAACTCCTGACCTTGAGTGATCTGCCTGCCTCATAAAACAATTTTTTTGTTGTAATTGTGTGGATTGTTGGAGTTCCTACAGAAAGTGAATTAGATGAGATATGGGACTTACTGAAAATGCTGGGAGGCATAGTGAAAGTTTCATTGTTTTATTTTCCGAACTGTGGTATTTTTAGAGTAATGCCTATCTGAAAGGAAGTGGTTAAAAACTCCACCACCCTTTACTCTATATCTGCAGTGTTGTCTTAGAGGTATGAATGGAAAAATTAAGTAAAAACAATTAGAAGGGAGACCTTCCTGAGGAAGCTACTTAAAGGTCTAGTGGGAGCCAATCTAGATGATGAGTTGGAGGACGGGGGCCAGAGTAGCATTGCAGGTAACTGGTTAAGGGCCAGCCAGTGTGGTTAGCATGTGGTTAATAAATTTATTCATTTCATTGATGGTAAAAAATTTTAATTTTTTTTTGGAATAGACTTGTGATTATGGACAGAACTTTTGTGTAAGGGTCGTCTCATAAGCCTCTGACTAACCTATCAGTAGTTGTCTCAGGATCAAGCTCCCTGATCCCTTTTTGTCTAAGGTAGTATAGTTTTTTTTAATTCTCAGCAAGTTAAAAAGATTTATTGCCATCCCAGGCTTCACAGGAGCCCAGAATGCCGGGCTGGTGTATGGTTAAGGAAGTTGCCATGGCATGACAGGGTGGTGGACACATCTAGGGAGCCTGACATCGAGTCCACCCTCTCTTCCTTGCACCCCACGGAGCAGCTGCTTGTGGGGCCAACTCTTCCGCACCTGCGCCATTCACCCCTACGGGGCTCCAGGGCTGAGGCAGGCAGCCCTGTGATCCCAGCAGCTCACAGCTGAGAGGCCGCCTGCACCTCCCCTGGCATGGAAGAGCCTTCTCCTCAGAGCCAGACACTATGGGTTTGGCCCTATGTAGGGAGAAATGGTGCCAGGAGTTGTCTTGAGAGGAGAAAGTGTGCACGGTCGTAGGTCAGAGGTTGCAAACTGGATACCCATGAGCCACATGTCCCCACCAACATGTCCGTTTGGCCCCTTTGGCCCACAGTGTTAAAAAAAAAAATTAGCTGCCAATGATTAAAAATTATAAGATTTCATATAAAAATCTGGATTTTTTGCTTCTCTAGGATAAAAAATTGAGACTATCTGGCAATACTAGTCCCAAAACATTTTTACATGGCACTGCCTGCTTCTAGCTGGATCGTCCTTATGAACTGGCTGTGCACTCTCCAAATTATGCCAGTCTTTGCCATCCTTAATTAGACGCAGCCAGAGCCCGGGCTCAGCTGCTGGTATCAATGCATGTGTTCTCTAACTTTTTGTGTAGTATAAGAAGTATTTACCATATCCATTGTGTGTATTATCTTTTTTTTTTTTTTTTGATGTTTTTTTTTTTTTTTAAATTTTTTTTTATTTCGGCATATTGTGGGGGCACAGATTTTAAGGTTTCAATAAATGCCCATTTACCCCCCTTGTGTGTATTATCTTTATCAAAAAAGGAGGCAACAAGTTTCTAGCAGTCCTCCTCCTTCACTGAAGTCTCTTGTTTGACCCTGTGGCACATGAGTTTGTAAAGGAGTTCCTAAATCTCTCCCCCCAGGGCCTTCCTGCACACACCCTGCCACTCCGGTCACACTGCACCCCAGGGTTAATTGGGCAAACCTAGAAAAGAAATCAAAATTAATCACAGAAATTAATGGAGGACTAGACTAAGATCAACAACTTAAGCCTCTTCATTGTAAAAGTGGGCTATGGGCTGGAGTAGAATGAAAATGTTAATCCCCTCACTCTGCTTTAGTTGGTAACCAGTAAAAAAGAAAGTCATAAAAGGCTGGGCACCGTGGCTCACGCCTGTAATCCTAGCTCTCTGGGAGGCCAAGGCGGGCAGATTGCTCAAGGTCAGGAGTTTGAAACCAGTCTGAGCAAGAGCGAGACTCCATCTCTACTATAAATAGAAAGAAATTAATTGGCCAACTAATATATAGAGGAAAAAATTAGCCGGCCATGGTGGTGCATACCTGTAGTACCAGCTACTCGGGAGGCTGAGGCAGCAGGATTGCTTGAGCCCAGGAGTTTGAGGTTGCTGTGTGCTAGGCTGACGTCACGGCACTCACTCTAGCCTGGGCAACAAAGTGAGACTCTGTCTCAAATAAATAAATAAATAAATAAAAGAAAGTCATAAAGGTAGTTTAGGAGGCCAAGACTGGGGAAGTTTAAATTGGAAGTCCCAAAACACATTGGTTCCCATTCCTTGAGTGTTTGGGAAACGAATGAAGCTCTTTAGAAAGAAGGTGACAGAGGTGGGGGAAGGGACGTGGCTTGCCCAGCAGATGTCCTGGGCCATCAAGAGATGCCAGGCTCGACCTCCATTAGGTCAGGGCTGCTTGCCCCAGCCTAAAATGTCAGTGGTGCAAGATGATTTTCAGGGAGGGTAGCAGACTCATTGTAGAAAGGAGCTGGAGAAGGGCAGAGTCAGAAGTTGGCCTTGGCAGACGCAAGGCAGAGGAAAAGAGACCTTCCTCACACCCTTTTATTCTGCTGTGGCTGCTGTCCCGCTATTTGCCCTTGAGAGAGGCGACGATCTTGATGCAACCCAGACGTTTCCCACCGCTGCTCAGGATGTGCTGGATGGGGTAGTTCCCGGTGCTGAGCCAGCTCGACAGCTCCAGGTCAGGCATGGTGAAATCATTCTTGGGTAGTGAGTAGGTGCCATCTTTGAAAGGACAGTGGCAGGGAAGCCCATAGGTGTGCAAGGGCTCTGGGCAGGGGTTCCCAGGGGGAATAAAAGTATCAAGCACATTACAGAAGTCATCATATGTACAGCTGCCAATCTGTTCCACATACGGGATTTTGACCCAGAAGCCAGCCACTTCCTTTTCCACAGTTAATTCCACCTTCAGAGGAGAACTGAGGGCGACACTGGTCTGGCCCTTGGCACTGATGGTCACATTCCCAGGCACAACTATGGGGTCAGGCTCCAGAGTCAGGCTTTTGATCACCGCAGGGTTCTTCCTTCGTCATAGTTATCCCAGGAGAAGCTGCCAAGCTGCTTCAGGTGGATGCTCACAGGGGCTGCAGGGCCGGTGAGAAGCAAGCCTAGGGCCAGCAGCAGCAGCAGCAGCGGAGCCTGGAATAGGGCTTGCATCACGAAGGACGGGTCTGCACGGTGTTAGCTACCGGTAGTCAGTTTTATAGTACAAAATAGGGAGACTTGTGTATAAAGAACCACCTTTGGCAGCTTCCTCAGAAGAGGCCTATGGACATGTGCAGCAGGTGATAGGAGTACAAGAGACTGGTACAAAGGTACCCACTACCTCTACCAGAAGCCTAGGAATTATCCTATTCATGCATTGATGTTAACTGCACCTTTATGTTAATCCTGTCAAACCTTAAGGTCCAACTCAGACCCTTCTCCTAAGCTATAGATATATAGAATTTACTGGTGACTCCAGATCTTCACCTAGGTTTCCCATAGATCAAAAAAAAAAAAAAAATCTTTGCAAGATATAAAAACCAAACATTAGGCCGGGTGTGGTGGCTCACGCCTGTAATCCACTCTGGGAGGCCGAGGCAGGAGGATCCCTCAAGGTCAGGAGTTTGAAACCACCCTGAGCAAGAGCGAGGCTCCATCTCCACTAAAAATAGAAAGACATTAATTGGCCAACTAAAAATATATAGAAAAAATTACCTAGGCATGGTGGTGCATGCCTGTAGTCCCAGCTACTTGGGAGGCTGAGGCAGAAGGATCGCTTGAGCCCAGGAGTTTGAGGTTGCTGTGAGCTAGGCTGACGTCATGGCACTCTAGCCCGGGCAACAGAGTGAGAGACTCTGTCTCAAAAAACAAAACAACAAAAATACCAAACATTAGTTTTCTCTCCTCCACCAAACTTGCATCTCACCCTAATATTCCATATCCCAGCACCCATGGGAGTCATTTTTGATTTCTTAGTCCACTCCTTTGCTCCACCCCTGTCCTGAAGCACACACAACACAGACACATATACACATGTCTGTGAGCACACACAGACACACATATATCTAATCAGTTACTTTTGTCACCAGATCAATGAAAACAAAACAAAAACTTACTAGATCAATCCTCAAGTTGAAAAATTTTTGTTAGCTTCCTTGTAGCTGTGGATAAAGTTCAAAGTAAAATGTGTAGCTTGGCCTATAGGGCTGCTCATGATTTGACCCTTTCCATCCTCACCAGACTCATTGCTCAGTGCTTATACCTTCCTTTGCATTCTCACCATCTATCCATTTTGCCTGAACAACTCCCCAGGTGGAGTAGCTTTTCTCACTTATATGCCTTGGTCCTTGTTGGAACCTCTACTTGGAATGCCTTCCCTTTAGTCCATCTGAAATTCCTATTAATTCCTGTAGTCCAGATCCTCTAGGCAGGAGGATCTATATGTACTTGTACATACTTGGTCAGTATTACCACACTGTGTTGTAATTGTTTTCATGTCTTTCTCTACTCTCTGTTATTGAGGGCAAGAAGCAGGTCTTAGTCATTTTTCTATCTCCAACACTCAAACATTCTACAAATATTTGTTGAACTAAAATCCTTGCAGTGTCTTTCTGGGCAGGAACATCAGTCCTCAAATATTTGCTTAAGTGCCTTCATTATGAGAGCAGGAAGAGGCAGTCATATCTGCCTCCGGAGACTCAGCCTAGTCTCTAGGGCAGTAGTTTCCAAACCTGACCAGAATAACTTGGGCAGCATTCCTAGTCTCCACCCCTTCCCAGGCTTCTCAGAGATTTTTATCTGCCCAGATTGGACTCTCTAGTCATTCCTCAAAGGGAGAACAAGAGAAAGTGTTAGGGAGACTTTCCTGAGGAAGCTACTTAAAATAAAGGTCTAGTGGGAGCCAGTCTGGATGATGAGGGGGAGGGTGGGGGCCAGAGCAGCCTTGCAGGCTGAGGAAACACAGTGTAGAAAGGCCTGTAATGGAGAGAAGGTGGAGAGCGTTCAAAGAATTGAACAAAGCCTAGTGTCTAGAATTTGGAGAGGGTGTCTCAATATATATGTTTCTATTCCTATATAGAATAGCAATATAGCATTTATCATGCTGTTTGTATTGACTCCCTACCACTATAAGCTCCCTGATAAACAAAACTATATTTTGTTTATGGTTGAAACTGTAGGATCTAGCACCTAGAAGGAACTCAGTAAATAGGTGATGATGAAGTGAACAAATCGCTGCCCTACAGGAGCTCAGTTCAGAATAGAAGATGGAGAAGAATATTAATAATTATGAAGTAGGATAGTGGCTTAAGAACTTTTTTGTTTTTTTGAGACAGAGTCTCTCACTCTGTTGTCCTGGATAGAGTGCAATGGCATCATCATAACTCACTACAACCTCAAACTCCTGGGTTCAAGTGATCCTTCTGCCTTAGCATCCTGAGTAGCTGGGGCTACAGGTGCACAACACCAGGCCTGGCTAATTTTTCTATTGTTAGTAGAGATGGGTCTCGCTCTTGTTCAGGTTGATCTCCAACTCCTGCGCCAAGCAATCCTCTTGCTTCAGCCTTCCAGAGTGCTAGGATTGCAGGCGTGAGCCAGCGCACCTGGCTGACTTAAGAATGTTTTAAGTCTAAGAACTCTTGATTCAAATGAAATTTTATGCAAAAGTCCTGATAACATATCAAACTGTTTGGTTGTATGTATGTGGGGATTGCTTTTCAGTTAACCTCTCTTTCTATAATGTAACTTTCTCCCGAACCTGTGTCTCTATACATTTTACTTTTATTCGTCCCTCTACCTATTCATACCCACTTGGGTAATTCCTACTGTCTTTTCTTTCAAATGTACCGAACCTCTTTTCTCTTGTCTGCTGTAAAGTTATTTGTCTACCTGGTCCTCCCCACCATCTGGTGCATATCTCTCTTATAGCACATCTTGAACTACATCAGTAGTTTTAAGCACAATTTTGAGAAGCCTTTTCCCTGGCTTTGCCATTCCAAGCCAGTATCTGACATTTTTTAGCACCTAAAGTTTGAGAGGCTTGGGATGCAGAGCACATATCAAAGGATTGAACTTTGAGAGCCAGCAGGAAGGAGATGGGGTGCAGATCCATATAGGATTATGGATTGTGATGGTCTTCTGAGTGCATTCCTGTTAACAGTCATTTATTATGGAGATAAAAGGCTCTGCCATTAACTAAAATCAGTGAAAGAGAGGAGAAATGAGGCCAGGCATGGTGGCTCAGGCCTGTAATTTTAGCACCCTGGGAGGCCGAGGTGGGGAGATTGCTCTAGGTCAGGAGTTCCAAACCAGCCTGAGCAAGAGCGAGACCCCCATCTCTACTATAAATAGAAAGAAATTAATTGGCCAACTAATATATAGAGAAAAAATTAGCCGGCATGGTGGTGCATGCCTGTAGTCCCAGCTACTTGGGAGGCTGAGGCAGGAGGATTGCTTGAGCCCAGGAGTGTGAGGTTGCTGTGAGCTAGGCTGACGCCATGGCACTCACTCTAGCCTGGGCAACAAAGCGAGACTCTGTCTCAAAAAAAAAAAAAAAAAAGAGAGGAGAAATGAGAACAGGTGTGCAGGAGTGTTAGAGTGCTATGTGGAGCCAGTGAGGTGGTAGGCTTAAGAGAAATGTTATCATTAGGAGGTATTGTGTCCCTGTGGAGGTTGTCGGTAATGACTTTTATTTATTTTTATTTTTTATTTTTTTTGAGACACAGTCTCACTTTGTTGCCCAGGCTAGAGTGAGTGCCGTGGTGTCAGCCTAGCTCACAGCAACCTCAAACTCCTGGGCTCAAGCAGTCCTGCTGCCTCAGCCTCCCGAGTAGCTGGGACTACAGGAATGTGCCACCATGCCAGCTAATTTTTTCTCTATATATTAGTTGGCCAATTAATTTCTTTCTATTTATAGTAGAGACAGTGTTTCGCTCTTGCTCAGGCTGGTTTCGAACTCCTGACCTCGAGCAATCCTCCCGCCTCAGCCTCCCAGAGTGCTAGGATTACAGGCGTGAGCCACTGCCCCGGCCAGTAATGACTTTTTAATGGGATAAATGTGCCAGCCTTTATGACTTTTTTCCCCTTTCAGTAATGCTCAGTCAGTTTGGGTAAAGACGCTAAATAAGAAGATGGTTGGATTGGGTCAGCCATGGTTGAATATTATTAGGGGATCATAAATAAAAGAGGGACTCCTAAGAGCCAAGCATGTGGATAAAGAGAGAAGCGAATGTTGCTATGGATGGGTGAAGAAAGTAGTGGGCTTTTAATTAAGCTGAAAAATGATTTCAAAAGGAATTTAATTAGGGCCATGGAGATTCAGTGAACTCAGGGAACAATCCCATTAAGTTAATGCAAAATAGTGGGTGGAAAGTCTCAAGAGATTGAGGATATAGGGGGCTTTACTGTTAACCCAGCGTGAGATCCTGAGGGCACATTTTTGTTAATATAGACATTTTAAGAAGGTAAAGTCAGACTACCTATGTTGGAATCCTGTCATTTACTAGCTGTATGACCTTGAGCAACTTATATAATCTTTTTATGTCTCAGCTTCCTCATCTAGAAAATGGGGATAAATAGTAGTATAGTAGTAGTATAGTAGTGTTGTTTTGAGGATTAAATGATTTAATGTTTGTACAGCATTTTGATAAATGCTACCGTATAGGATGTATATACAAATATATAGTAAATAAAAATAGTATCTTCCCTATATATCAATCTTATATATAGCTCTTCAAAAGTGTGCCATTCTTCTAATGTCTAGCAACCATTTCCTTCCTCTCCCCCTCTATTACTATTATCCCATGATTAAACTTTACCAATTGCTTAGTTGAACTAGTCCTCTATACATTTTTCATTGAAGTAGGAACTTTTTCATTAGGCTTGTAAGTCTTGCTAATCACTTAGAAAAGCATATTTTAAATGTCTCTATTTTTTGAATTTTATTTTAGCTGTTAAACGTTTAATGAAAGAAGCAGCAGAATTGAAAGATCCAACAGATCATTACCATGCACAACCTTTAGAGGTTAGTTTCTATCTCCATATTCTTCATATGGATTTTGATACTTTAATATTTAAAACATTCTTTAAAATTGCTTTTCATTGCTTTGAGTCATTATAGATGTATTTGATATAGTTTATTGATATATTGTATTCCCTATATTTTCTGAGTATTTCATTAGCCAATCAGACATTTTAGAAGAAGCAGATTTTTATTCTCTGTAAAATGGATGTTAGATGCTAAGTTGAAGATAGTAGGTGTTAGGTCTGAGTATGAGGGAGGAGAAGTGGAAATAACCCCAGACTCTTTTTTTTTTTCTTTTTCTTTTTTTGTAACCAAAAACATTTGTATCAGACTCTTTACAGTATGGAAAGCCAGCCCCTTGAGAAGTCTCTGCAGCTACCCTGGGCTTTTTGCACAAATGCCTCTACCTCTCTTCAGTTTTCTCATCTGTAAAAGGAGGGTATTTAACTGTGCTCAGTCAGGTTTTCATGGTAATAGAACAAAAATATAATAATATATGTGCAAGTTTTTTGCAAACTGAAAAGTA